AGCTTGACTGATGTAACACAAAAAGAAACAAAACAAAAAGAAAGAGAAAAAAAACCCCCCCAAAAAAAACAAATGTTAAACACGTTAAAACACACATCCCTTTCCCTTCCCACCCACATGAACTTTAGCAGAAGCATCCCCCCAAACGAGATGCGCGCAAAGTACCCCGAAAACAACCAATCTGTCACACCTCTTGTGGCTCTAAGGAAGGCCTATACCGAACAACTAACGAACTACAACTACTTAGGCGTTGGAATTGTGACATGAAGTTACGTCAGTGAAATGAAATTACACAGTAATAAATGTACTAATAATTAAGCCGGATAACTAAAGCCGACTATTAAATCGATTGAAATAATAATAATAATAATAAAATAAAAAATAAAAAAAACAACTTGAAGCAAAATGAATTGTGTCAAACCATTAAGGCACCTGCAGCGCTACAGTTTTTACCTGAGGTATCCCTGTATACCATTTAAGTAGTCAACATGAGCCGAGTTCGAGAATCAAGAATGAAAGGAGTAAACAAGAAAACAAATCAGTGTTACCTCAGAACCGTAGCTCACTGAACACATTAAGAAAACAAGGCATCCAGGGTGAGGGACAGATGTAGTCCTCATGGCCAGCAGCAATAACAGCCACACAACAAGTTAACATGTCGGCTAAACAGCGTCAGGGGTGACTCCTTTTAATTGTTCTTCTCAATGAAGCTCAACGCCGATGTCGGATCCTCAAACCTGTGGGTCTGTCCGCCGGGCAGAGTGATGCGTAGCGTTGCCGGGTAGAGAAGACCAAACTTGACGTTCGGGCAGGAATGGAGCTCCTTCTTTACTGCAGCAAAGGCGGCCCGCTTTTTAGCCACCGCCGCGGTGAAGTCGGGGAAGATCGAGATCCTCTTGCCCATGTAGGAAAGAGGGAAAGCTTCTCCGGCCCGGCGAAGAATTTGGTTCCGGACTTGAAACAGGTTCACCCGAATAACGAGCGGACGAGGGGGCTCTCCATCCTTGGGCTTGGCGCGTAGAGTGCGATGAGCCCGGTCCAGCACAGGTTTGTCGTCAAGGCCGAGTATGTCTTCTAGGAGCTGGGCAATGAACTCGGTGGAATATAACATGCATCTTAAATACTCTGCTAATATGGTGATTTGATTTGCGTTAATGGCCTTACCCAGACAAGTTTGCTTCACTTTAGATTGGCCCATATAGGGTGCCCTGAATGGGTAACTTCTAGTTACTTTTGAAATAGAGGATCTCTAAACACATTGTGTTGTCCCTAAAATTGTACAAAAACATCTAAAACTCTGCCATGGCCAATCTGCAGAAGTGCAAGCGCAACCAGATACACTTCTGTATTACAACTGACCTACCTCACAATGTGAAAAAACAGTGAAAAATAATTTGTATAACCGCCCCATGATTTGGAACTTTAAAAATCCTTCTACCACAATTCATGAAAATCGTGCCTGTAGTTTTTCCATAATCCTGCTGACCCACGCACAAACATTCAGAACTGAAAACACAACCTCTTTGGTGGAGCTAACAACGATGCTCCAACATCATCTTCTCACCACAAGAAGCAGTCATTAGTGCACTGAGACCAAGTTCCAGTGACCTCTGCCCTGACATCTGCTGTTCACCGATGTTTCTGCCTCCCTCGTTGTCTTCTGTCTTTTCCTCACAAGACGTGCAAGAAGTCAGACGTGCGTCCTGTGATGCTCCATCTAATCCTACACCCCAGGTCTCATCCCTTTCATCCTTCTGTTCACCCATGACCCTGCCCCAGTTACGCCAGTAGTCACTGATATGACCCCTTACATTTACCTTCAATTGCATTGGGATGTTTGGCCAACTATCTGTTTAAATATGTGTTGACATGATTGGCTGTTATCCCTTTATTCTGGTATTTCTTTCTCAGGTTTTGACTACTGTTATTTTCCTGAGGGTTACTTGTTCTGCTGTTTAACCTTTTTTTAAAGCTGTGAAATGCCTTGTAGGTAAGAGAGTGATATAAGACAGTAAATGAGAAAACATTTGTAGGAAATGTATGACTGTAATATTGACCTAAGCTGGAAAGAAGAGAATTAGACATCTGTCGTTGCTGTTGTGTGTAGGTTGAGAAAAACATTGCATGAAAGTATGTAAAAGTGTATCTCTTTGTTCTTCATTTTGGAAAATGCCTTAATTGTGTTGCTATCATTCATGCCACTGCAGCAGGCGACATCTACCAACTCTGGCTAAAAAAATCCCTGTTTAAACTATTTGACTTTAGCATGTTAGGAAGTCACGCATCGCGCCCACTGGCTGAAGCAAAGCAAGCACAAGAGGACGTTTGCTCTTGATGCTAAGAGGGTTTCACAGCATATTTAATTCAGAGCAGGTGATGCTCATTAAATATTCATGCTTTGGTTATTATCTTGGCCTACCGAAGAGACGATTATTGCTCATTACAGTATGTGATACAGTTTTCTGTGTGACCATAGGAGGAAAGTAAATACACTGCATCTTTGTAAAGCATGCCCCCTAAGGTATCATCACCATCTCCCTCGTCACATAATCTGTCTGAAATATTAAGAGATAAAGAGAAAGTTATGTGAAACTCTCAGGTCTGGGGGTGTCTTTTGCCCGCTGATAAGAGATCAAATCGTTTTTGGAGTTGAGGGCGTTCTGTTCAGTACTGTACTCACTGCACTTGCCCCCGTTCTATTAGTTACCCTCCTGAGAGGCAGAGCAGCAGCTGTCCTCAGCCAATCATCCATCACTGTGTCCTCTGGGTGTGGGCACAGGAAAAGAGCAATGAGCAGCAATCCTCTCTATCAGCCTCCAGAGGATGAGTTCAAGTTGGTAATGAAATTAGTATGTGAACAACAGGTTTCACTAAAACTCACCCATGGACTCACTTTACATTTTAATGTATTACTTTCTTTACTCTGCTTTCATTCACCATTCCATTCTTAAAATTCACTGTATAGTTTCTGGAAGTTTTATTTATGTGGACTAATTTGCAACCCCGTTTTTTTTAGATCAAGAACGTTATACCAGCACTGTCACAACACTGCTGCTCTCAGAACTTGAAAGGCTCTTTCTAGTTTATTTGAGTTATCTTTTTACTAGGGGTGTGCATCTCTC